AATGTCGAAACCACAAGCCTACTACACCTCTATCTCTATCGGTGTGAGGTAGAAAATGTGTACTTCCTGTCGTCAAACGCTCCAAGCACATGCATACGAGAGGACCACAATCCCCTCTGGCTTCCTTCGTTTGTTGTGGCGTTGGTCTCGTCTCTGATAACTGTAACATTGAACTTCTTTGGCTTCTTGTTTCCAGACTTAGTCCAATAATTAATTGCATCCAAGAATTTAGCCAAATGAGAGCTCCATCCCTTAATAGTATCTCTCAAATCAGACAATGATATGTAATTTATCATGTGTCATATACTATTGTCTTTAGGGATGGGAGCTGAAGCTCGACAAGAAGCCAATGAGTACGGTCCAAAACAGGGATAAACACCTGCATCGAAATGTAATAATTCAAATTGCGCACTTATTTATGAACACCTTTAAAATATTTAAACAAATATACTAACCTTATCGACCTCCCACCATGCAGGATAAAGTTTAGCTTGTCCATTAGCCAACACATATGATTCCTGTCGTTGATTCTTCAAGTGAACTACGTGAAAAGACGTCGGCATAATTGTATATCGTTTTATATTTTTCTTCAATTTCCTTACAATTAGAAGACGTGTCACCCATGCATCAATATGTTGTTTTACAAAAAAAGAAATATATTAGTGAATTACATAAATTTAAAAAAAATTAATCAAACTGAAATATAAGACTTACCCCACATCGAAATAGCCGTTGTCTTCAACCCCTAATAATACACCCCACCAAGATCGTTCAATCAACAAATGTATATCATCGTTGAGTTTGTATATGTCAGCGTAACACCTTTGGCTCCGCTCATGTAGATAAAAATCAACTGCGGTCTTAGCCCAAAGGGTATTATCCAGAATTGTTTCCGGTAGTTGTTTCCTCTCCACTTCATCTGCCGGAATGGTACTGGCCGGTAACTTATACGAAAGCCAACAGTCATCCATCATGTTCGGCACGTGAGGGGGCTTCTCAATAATTCGATATATTACGCCGTGTGAATCGGCCTCTAGAATGTTGGGAGGGACCTCTTCAACGATGACAGTGGCCTCTTGAACGGTGGGAGGGGACTCTTGAGGGATGATAGGGGCCTCTTGAACGATAGGGGAGGCCTCTGAACGATGACAGGTGAGTCGGGCTTTTTCTTACGGATTCTTCGCACTATTGGGGTGAACAGAGACGTAATGGCACTTGCACGCCGTCTGATGCGTGAACTCCGTCTTGCAAGAAAAACCCAACGTAGAGCATCCACCTTAGCGGGCCACTAAAAATAAATTAATACATAAATCAGTAAATAAACAGACATGATATTAAACAGTGAAAACAAATACAAATATATTTCAAACTTGCATGGTATTCACCCAAGTCATTATTATATCATTGTTCACAAAATGCATCAAATAACATTCCAGAAGTAAGCACTTATATAAATATTTAAAAGGACAACATATAGTTTAGTGCAGGTTCAATGACAACATAAAGAGTAGTAGTTTATTCTTGAAACTTAAATTTTCAACACTGTGAAGTTAGTATTTGTCTTTTGGTTGAAGTAATGCAATTCATTCAAGTTTCAATTTGCAGAAGGAGAATAGAATCTGAAACTTAAAATCGCAACGCGAAAATGACTATCGCAACGAGAGAATCGCAATGCGAAATGAAAATCGCAACAACAAAATCGCAACGCGAAAATGACTATCGCAATGCGAATTTGACTATCGCAACGAGAGAATCGCAATGCGATTTTTATTTCGCATTGCGATTCTTTCGTTGCGATAGTCAAATTCGCATTGCGATAGTTATTTTCGCATTGCGATAGTCATTTTCGCATTGCGATTCTCTCGTTGCGATAGTCATTTTCGCGTTGCGATAGTCATTTTCGCAATGCGATAGTAAAATGTTCTTCTTCTGCAAATTGAAACTTGAATGGATTGCATTACTTCAACCAAAAGACAAGCAAAAACAAATACTAACTTCACAGGGTTAAAGAATAAACAGTTAAAAAGTATTGGCAGCAACCGAATGAATTTACTAAGCAATCTAAGTGAAATTACGAGTAAATTTATCATCAAGTTAAATATGAAAAATATTAAACTTACCTCGTTGCGTAGAGTATGAACCTCATTCTGCAACGATGCTACAATCTCACGTAGAGCTGTTACCTCACCACGTAAAGTAGACACCTCAACATGCCATGCACCATTGTCATCGAGTAAAGTACTGACCTCCTCACGCAAGGCATTAACCTCATTACGTAACTCCCCTAACTCATCCCGTGGAGGTAGAGGTGGAGGTGGAGAACAGGGAGATAAACGTCGTGGCATCTTTGACGGTCGCCTATCATGAGGTGATGGTGGAGAAGAGGCTCGATGATGTGACAGAATAGGTGATGACTCTCGTTGTGGAGGTGTATATTCGGGTCGATCAGGTGATGGCTCTGGGTGAGGTGATGGCTCTCGAAGTGGTGGCTGCTCATCATCCGTGCTATCAAAAAAACACTTATTAGCTTGTCACCAATCAGTGGCAAGCTCAGCTTCCGTGGATGTCAGCCTCTGTAATGGAGTGTTGGCCTCCTAACAATATAAAAGCTCAAACAAAGTTAAACGTGTACTAGTAATAACTTGTTTATAAACATATGGTAGTATTTGTGTTAACTTACATTATTTATTGTAGTATACGGTAGTAAATCTTCCCGTTGCTACAAGGACCGTTTCCTCTTCCAAGAAATAGCCCTAGGAATGTCATTAGAAGTTTTTAATGCATATGTCTGCATGGTGGGAAAGGCCTCAAATATCCAAATCTACAAACAATATAATAACAAACATTAGTAATTGTTAAAGAATTAATTATAATTTTGGAAACATTATATAAAAATTATTACCTTAAAGGCCCAAATAAAGCCTGAAAAAGTGTATTTGGAACCATAGCCACGCAAACTTTTTCGATCATCAAAGGCAGACGACAACTTATTCCATGTAGCTCTCCATAGATACGAACCCCACGGAAACAGGTTCCATGCATTTAGGTCCTCTACCATTTTAATTAGATCATTAGGAATAGGTTGTCGGGCCTCTCTGCCTAAAAAGTCGGCTTGCAAAAGTATTAGAAGGCATACTCGGACAACATCGACGTCATCCATCCGAGTAAAACCATTTTTCTTATTCAATAATCTCGTCAAGTCTTCCACGTGTAAATTCGGATTCTCCGTTGACAGCTCAGGAAAAACCCGGGAAAACCATGATAGGCGGGTAATATGTCTAGTGTACCGATCTACATCATCGTGTCCGAAGCGTAGACCGGTGATTAAGCAAAACTCCTCCCGCCCAAAACACGTATACGCCGGTGGAAAATCAAACCATATCTCTTCATCACGACGTTGTATAGTCTCTGGTAGATCGCTAGTCATGGTTTGAAGAAACACATGGGTCAACATAGCATCTCCACCCGGATGTTGTACTTTCAGCCATGGCCCGAAGCAAGTATCCTCAAATATTTTTCTTTGTGCAGGTGAAAGCTTCGACGCAATTGTTTTGGCCAGGCTTACTTTATTTCTTAAGGTCAATTGAGCCGAATAAAAGTTATGCAAAAACAATAAACATACCAATTTAGATATACCAAAACCTACACTGTGAAGATATAACAAGAACAATAAACATAAAGAGTAGTAGTTTATTCTTCAAACTTAAATTTGCAACACTGTGAATTTAGTATTAGTTTTTGTTTTTTGGTTGAAGTAATGCAATTCATTCAAGTTTCAATTTGCAGAAGAAGAATAGTTTAGCAAAACTTTAAATCGCAACACGAAAATGAAAATCGCAACACGAAAATGACTATCGCAACGCGAATTTGACTATCGTAACGCAAGAATCGCAACGCTAAATGAAAATCGCAACGACAGAATCGCATTGCGATAGTCATTCTCGGTTTCAAATACTAAAATTGAAAGAAACTTGAATGGATTGCATTACTTCAACCAAAAGACAAAACAAAGACAAATACTAACTTCACAGGGTTAAAGACTAAACAGTTTAGCAGTATTGGCAGCAATCGAACGAATATAATAAGCAATCTAAGTGAAATGGTTAATCTATTATTGAAAACACCAGTAAACTTATCAATTTCAATATAAAAAACCTAATAATAATGCAAAAATTTCAAAATAAAAATAATTAAAAAAACTAACACTCGGTGGTTGATTTGGTTGATTTTCCATTTCTGACCGTGAATGATTTCACCGGAGATGGAGACTGATATCGTCGTGGGGACTGATTTCGTCGGAGATGGGGATGGATGTCGCCTTAGAGAGTGAGAGATGGAGATGAGACTGAGTTGTGATTTAGGGTTTTAGGTTATGAGTTGCAATTACGGGATATACTGTGGACGGTTCAGTGTTCCAATATATTAATATATTCGTGTTTGGAATTTGAAAAAAAAATGCGCGTTAATACGAATGGCGCTATGTAAATCGCATTGCGATTTACGTAATCGCATTGCGATTTACGTATTCGCATTGCGATTTTCCAAATTCGCGTTGCGATTTACGTATTCGCATTGCGAATTAGGAAAATCGCAACCCGAATTTGGGAAATCGCAATGCGATAGTCAGAATCGCGTTACGAATCTGGAAACTAATTTGCGATACCGGAGATCGCGTTGCGAATTATCGATCGCATTGCGATTTAGTTGGTCATTTTGGCAAATCCAAAAAAAGTTGGTTAAAATCGTATATTATAAGGCATTTTTTGTCACTGAGGTTATTTTCTCATTTTAAAAAGGTAAGAAAAAAAATAAAAACCAGACTAGATTTGTGGTTGGTCACATTAAAGGTATCTGGTTACTAGTTTCATTTCCTAAGAATACTTATATATATATATATATACTGGCTGTGCATCTGCCCTTGAAGTTTTGAGAGAGACCACCCTTCGTCCAGTTGTTTCAATCTAGACTGTTTCTATTTGTGGTCGATCATTTGAAATCCCCACCTCTACCCCAAATCTATTCTCCTATAAAAACGATTCAAACCCTAAATAAATCAGTTACTCATCACCTTCAACCAGCATGTCTTCTAGCTCAGAAGCCATGCTAAACCAGGGCTTGTTTGAGGAACAAGAGATGCCTACACACATGGGTTTCTTTACTGCTTTTCCTCAGAACTTGACTTCATGTCCTCCATTAATGGCTTGCCATCAGTCTCTCAAAGCCTTCAATATCACAGCAGCTGCTGCTGATGCACTTCCTAATTCTTATCCTAATCTATCTGAAACCCTAATCTCATCTCTTACCTCTCAAAAGCATAGGCAGCACCTTGCTTCTGAGTTTGGAGGTCCCCAAGTCCTTTCTTTGCAGAGATCCAGTGCAAATTTCTGGTAAGAAAGTGGTGATAATTATAATGTATTATTTGTTCAAAATTTATTTAATTGGTCATTAATAATATAACTGCTCGAATCTGAGACATATATATAAGAACAAGAACGAACAACACTTTCTTTTCACTATTGAGATGATCGTACTTTTATATGAATAATCATGCAAATATTACTCAGTATTGTGTTTTTCTTCTTTCCTTCCTTTGCATGTAAAATGGAATAGTAAATATTTACCAAGTCTTGACAGATGAAATTTTCTCTTCAGGTATCTTGGTAAATAATGTATGGATTTGTTTTGATATGGTTTTAGGACATGGGGAGAGGTAAACGAGTGTTTGGGAAGCAAGAAAATGGGTGTAGAACAAGGTCACCTGGGAGTTTCAGCCATGAAAATGAAAAGGATAAAAGCAAGAAGGAAGGTAAGAGAACCCAGGTTTTGCTTCAAGACCATGAGCGATGTGGATGTACTGGATGATGGATACAAGTGGAGGAAGTACGGCCAGAAAGTGGTGAAGAACACCCAGCATCCCAGGTAATATTATATTAATCACACACTTTCAAAAAAAAAAACCTTGAAATTTTCTCTCTTTTTGTTTTTATGCTTTTAAACAATAATACAAAATCTTGATGAAAAGTTACAATGTTCACATCAAGTTTTTAGCCTTAGTTGTACCCCATACACATGCCATGTTTTTTTTTTCTGTCTTGTAATTATACTTGTGATGATGATTTTTTGAGGGCTTTACAGGCCTGATACTGCATGAGATCTGAAAGGGTAATTATGAGGATATTAATCATGAAAATTACAATCAATTTTAAGAACGAAAAAGCATAAATTATTGTCTTCAAAAGATACAAAATCACAATGTGAAGATGAAAAAGGGATAAATAATGCATACAACAATTGATCAATTATAATGCACCATAAAAAGGAAGCTACAGAATCTTTTAGTATGCCAATAACTAGGAATATGTATATATATATATATATATCAAATTAACAATGCCAGAATATCATACCTTGTACATATAGAATAAAGGTTCGGTATTTATTTGAACTTGCATTGTATGTTAATACCTTGAGGAAAGATAGAAAGAGATCCAGCTCTCTCGTCTAGATAGCTCATCCTCTCTTTTTCCTCTTATAAAGAATTATTGGCTAACAACCTTCTTTGCACCGACAGTGTCTCTCTCGTGTCTCTCCGCTCAAATTAAAAGGGTGAACCGTCAACCATCAATGATACAAACTTGTTTCTATCAATAAAATACAATCATGACATGAAACAAATCAAAACGTAATTTCCCATGCAATCTTTTAAACTCACTCATAACTCTATATTAGTAAATTTTACGTTTTGAAATGTGGAATTAGGACTGATATATGATCACATGCAAATGCAAATGCAGGAGCTACTATCGGTGTACCCAAGATAACTGTCGGGTGAAGAAACGAGTGGAGAGATTAGCAGAGGATCCACGGATGGTAATTACGACATACGAAGGCCGACACGTACATTCTCCCTCGCATGATCTCGACGACTCCCAACCTCCTAATTCTCAACTTAACAGTTTGTTCTGGTAGTCATCACGCCTTTAACATCTATCGACCGATCTATCTATCTATCCGCCACATATATAAGTAATCTGCTTGAAAATATTCTTCCTTCTGCACTAATCTGAATCAACTGTTTCATATAGTTTGGAGAAGCATTCAAAATAAACCCTTTCTTTTTGATCATGCTTCTTTCTACCATCTTCTTGCTCTTTATGCTCCATGCTACTATAAAAGAGAACAGTGACTTTATTTTTTTCTTCTGTAAATTTTGCTGAATATATAATGTTGCATGTCTAAGTTTCGCTGGTTTTGTTAAGTATATTTGAGAACAACAAGGTTTATGTTGTATCGTTGCTTATTGGTTTTTGCGAATTGGATGAGATGATTTATGTTAAGCTTATAACTGGCAACAAATGTTTAAGTTGGGTTAAATGCTCACTTAGGGTGTAAAATAACCGAAAAACAATGGGGAAATTTCGATGGACGAAATCAGAATTAAATATTGAGATTAAACATAAATAGTAATAGGAACTAATAAAATGAGAAAATGATCATTGCTAAATTTAATTTCAAACTGTATACACTTACACGTCAAAACAGAGCACGTTTCCTTTTTATGTCACGAAAGTAGTTATTATTTTTTTTTTAACAATTCCTACGAAGGGAAAGTAGTTATTACCATCGCAGGCGTTATCCAATTGGCAAAGCAAGGGCTCTTGGGATTATGAGTTGGTCTTATGTCCTAGGTTCGAACCGCGCTGACTGGGAATCCTGGAAAAAAACGTGGGACAGAGTAGTGGGTTCTTTGAGCTCCTCCGGAGGTTGTCTTGTAGGGTCGGGTTCTTTAGGCCGACTTTGGGAGGTCCTACGTTATCAAAAAAAAGAAAAAGAAAGAAAGTAGTTATTATTTTTATTATTCATTGTTTGAGTAATCAAATCCATTGGGAATTCTTTCTTATGGCTCTCTGTGTCTTTCTCAAGCGTTTGCACTTTTTGTGTTGGAAAATTTTTAATTTCTTTTGTTTTACAAATTGATTTAGTTCATCGCCTAGGTCCGCGATTTGTTTCACAACTAGTTTCTAACATCATTAGTATTTGTATTCAACCGCAAAAATCAACCCTATAATACAGGTAGCGATAAGTCAGGTAAGGTCGAATTTTCAATCAATCTGATTCAATTTAAAAACTATATCTTCTCCTGTCGAATCTGATTTAATATGTATATGAAAAGTTATCATTCGACCCAAAATTTCTGCTAAAATTTTGAGATAAAAATACACATCTTACCCAAACCGACACAGGTATAAAGTTATTTTTCTTATTTTTATTCGACAAAGTAAGGACCTAACATGAAAGTAATTATAGAGAAGTATTATGACAATTATCTCTAAATATATATAAAAAATTATATTATAATCTCAAGTTGGACAAACCCTTTAAAATCAAATCAGTTCAAAAACTCGTTAAATTCATATCAAATTGGCATCCATATCCTACATCCAAAAACGAAAGAGGTATATCACAAATTTTCCCATTTTGAAGATTCATTTATTGGATTTGAGTAGGTTTGAAAATGGGCCCCATCTGGATTTGGATCTAACTAGACCCAGATCCATACCCATTTTCACATTTGGATCCATACCCGCCTAGGATGCGGGTTTAAAAAATTGAGATCCAGATTCATATCCAACGGATTCGGGTCTAAAACAGGTCTAAAACATGTATGTTAAAAACAACCATTCGACTTATTTTTTAACGTAATAAAATTATTATTGACTAATTTCACATAACATCTCTAGTAGAGGAAAATTTAATTTCAATACAACTAGTAACATAATAAAAAACTATAAACTAAAGTCTAAAAAAAACTCCAACACAAATACATAAATATCTTTTGAATAATACAAACATTAAAAAAATGTAATCATGAAATATTCTATTGTCATAAATAAATAAAAATTACATTAGAGAATAATGAAAAATATAAAATCGAAGCAAAGGAAGAGAAATAATATAACTACTAATAAGTATAAAAATCAACTCTATAAGAATTCAAGTGTCTCTCTATATTTATATATATTTTAAAACTAAAGGCGAATTTTTTTATATACGGGTAAACGGTCCAGACTAATATTTAATATCAGATCCAGGCCTAATTTGTACTTTAATTAGAGGATCTAGATCCGTCGGGTCTAAAATTTTAAATACATCCCTTATAAAACGGATATAGATCTATGGATTCGGATGATTGGATTCGGATGATCCATAATTCATTGTCATCCCTTGATATGAGAACCGCTAAAAGGATACAAGGAGTTCTTGTTAGAAGAAAAAAAAAGTCCAATCAATCAGAGAATTCCCCCATCTTATTCCTCCATATATACCTAACGTAAAATACATCAGTATTTACTGAGATGCTTTTAAGTGTTCCAATTTGTTAGTCCAAGTACCAAATCAAAGGTCAAAATATATCTAAATTAATGGACAAAATGGACAAAGGCTTGTATTATAAGTAGGGGTGTTCAAAAAATCTGATTCGAATTATTTGATCAGTCGATCCGATGACCGGATTAAAAATTATCAGTATTTATAATAAAAAGACTTGAATTTAATGGTCAGGTACTTGACCTGTATTTTTTTCCGGGGTTTTCGGATCGAATCCGGGTCATGAAATTTCATGTAAACGGGTACCCGACTACCCGGTTATCTTTCATTTGATTTCAACAAAACTATCGTATTATTCCCACCCAAACGAATATTCCATATTTTTAGATTTTGAAATTAAAATCAATATTCTACGAAATACTGAATTGTAGTGAATAGTCAGTTCATGAATTAAACTTCTGAGTAGTTATTCTTCAAATGTGTCCAAAATTATTCAATGCTACATTTCCGTATATAGTTTCTTAGTTTTCTATTTTCTTCAAATAGAAATCTCTGTCCAAAATTCATTTCTAAGGCATTGTTTGATTCTGTTCAAATAGGGAAATGAATTACCATGGTTGAGATCTTTATGTCGGGATGCTCTGGAAATTCTTTGTTCATCGTTGGAACACAAAGGTCTCTTGTTTCGTGGGTTGTGATTGTCAATCGGTGTAATTATCAAAGCCTACCAGTCATTCGACGAAATGTCTGACCATTTTTCTCGCTTATTTTCCCGCCTTTTTAATTATAGTCTTTCGCCTTTTCAACATAAAAGAATAGACCCAGATATGAGATGACTATTTAGCTTCTATATCGTTGTTCCCAAACAGAATGATCATTAAAAATCCATATTAGGAGCTTTCTGGGTTTTATGCTTTTGGCTTTGTTGTGAGAGAGAGAGTGAAGAAGAAATCAGAGGGTAAATGAGTAAATCATGAGTCGAGACTAGTGGAGTGGGTACCCAATTACCCAAATTAACGGGTACCTAGGTTCTACGGGTACCTGGGTACCTGACTTTTACGGGTCGGGTCACGGGTTGAATTTTTAGTATCCGAAAATTTCAAGTACCGAACATTTCAGGTACTCGAAAATGTGAGTATCCGGATATGAACACCCTTATTATATGCCAGAATAAAGAAATAAATTACTATAACAAATCTTATTAGTGGGCGAAAATACTGCCGACTTTAGAAGGGATTTGCTCCCTCCGCCAACAGCGCTCTTTCACCTGAATAAATTACGGGAACAAGAAAATGAATTAACCATCACGAGTTTAACAATAATTTGGATCCTCGTATGTGTCAAAATAACTCAGTTTGTATGTATCTTTTCCTTTGTTAAACCTGTAATTGATTCTTCTTTTTTAAACCTTCTCGTCCGTTTTAGTGGAATCCAATAAGTTGTCCTGTTTTTGTGACTTGCTGCTTGGAGCTGGATAAATCCGGCGCTCTTTTCCTCCAGGCTTGGAGGAGGCATTACCGTACAAGATCATTCCTGCTACTGCAATGACCATACCCAGAAGATTGAGACCTTTACCAAAGAAAGTGAAACCTAAAATCAGGACGAGAATAGTCTTCATATGACCAAGCACTTGGAACGATACGGCAATGGTTGAAGGTTGAGGTTGGTCCCCACGGCAATGGTGCAAGACAGGATTATGAAAAACTGCAAGAAGAGAGCATCACATATTATTTACAGCAGTCATGATTACCAGCATGCAAAATCTATTAATAATCCATATGTCAACTTGCACTAGCACATGAACTTCAGAATGGAGAGTTCATGTTCATGGTTCTCCAGTTATGAAAATAGTACAGGACAACATTAAAAGTAAGTAAGATGGTTAAATCTTCCATGTCTTCTTGATCATGAAACCTAGTTAATGACCAGATGCAAGGATGGAAATTAGTTCTCCGTACGCTCGATACAGATGAAGTATTTCTGATAAAATACCAATACAACTTGAGTTAAAATGATGTATCATAACCAACTAAATTCTAGTAAACTCTGATAAGAACCGTACCATAGATATGGCAGTGTAGTTATACGCATAAACCTTTTTCTCTGTTAACCAGTAGTCCACAAAAGGACCAGAAAGCAGCAGGCTTGCAGCTTGTACCAGAGCAGTATGTCTCAATAAATCAAAAGATCCTAAAGAATGCTTGCGTTGAAGATAATGTACATACTGCAAAATGATAAATAAAATCAAAAAACAAAAAAGGACCCAAAATATCAATACAAGTACAAGATTAAGGAATGGTCGGTGCTTCATTTATGGAATGGATCAGGCCATGACAAACAAATAGAGAACCTTGTTCAATTATAACATTAGTTGAAATTACTATCTGAAATCTTCCAACTTAGGTTACTTACATACTGCTGGAGGGCTGTGCTCCAGACTGCTATAACAGCAGCTACAAAGCCCTTGATATTGACACTCACATCTGTAACAGTACAGACAGCAACTCCAAGGAGTACTAGTACTATGCTAAGCTTTGTATCCCTTGAGTAATGGACCTTGTCGAAAACAACTTCCAGAAAGCAAGATACTGGAATCATGCTAAGCTTTGCTATCTGAGAATAATTCCAAAGAAAACAATGCAAAAATAACTTCCAAAATGATCGAATATAGAAGATTGTGATAATCTGTCACTAAAAC